GAGAGTATCATCACCGACTGGCACAAAGTCTTAATGGACACCATACGACAACTGGTGAGTGAAAACTCTTCATCACATAAATGGGACTCAGTCAAGCACTGTAAAACACAAATGTATTTTCAAAATAAAATATCGTACTGACTAGCAAGTTTAAAAATAGTTAAAAATGAAAGTTTTTCCTTCCTGTGCAACCATATCACGAGTCATGAGTCCGGGCCCAGAAGGCTGATACAACATTCATTTTCCTGTCTGTTTTAAATAAATTATTATTATTATAACTTTTTAAAAACTTTTTGTGACTCATCTCTAACAACTCAAGTATATTTTTCCCAAACAGGAAATGAAGACCAAACCCAGATGTAATTAAATCCTCATACTGTATTTGTAATAGAACTAAATATTTTTGCATTGGAATCATGAACATATTGTAAATGTAAATTTCTCTTCTTTTAAAATTTGGTCAAAATCAAGAAAGCTGCACGTGTGTGTGTGTGTGTGTGTGTGTGTGTGTTTGGATCAGGAATACCAAGACCATCACTCAGATGAGGAGGACGGGAACGTGTATGAGAAAATCTCCACCCCAGAGCAGGAGGACAAGACTGACAAGAGAAGATGTAAGATGAACCCTCTCTATTATTACTGCTAGCTCACAATGCTGGAAGTAAATATTGTGTGGTTTTTACTCTGGATCAGTTTTGACTCATCCTATTGACCCAAATACACCCGAGCACAAAGAGCTAACATTTCAGCTCTCCTCAATGTTGAATGTTTCTTTTCTTTTTCTCCCCAGCCAACAAAGCAAGTGTTACACACTCATCCAGCTCTGCAGGAGACACAGATCCAAAACGGGTTCGAACCAAACTGATGAAGTTTCTTCTGAAGCGCCCGACGCTCCAGTCAGTCAAGGAGAAAGGATACATCAGAGGTGCAGGGTTTTCTTTCAGTTTCCTTCATTTGCATGTTACTTAATTCAAACAGGAAAATGAAGGGAAAACAAACCCAAGGGCGAGGGCAGATTTGAACTCTACCTCTTCAGGCGTCAAACGCTGTTTGAACACAAACTGGTTTATGTTGACAAATTGAGTTTCACTTCAACATTACTCTAGTTTTGAAGCTGAACAGAATCTAAATCTACAGTGTGGGAACTGCTGCTGAAAAAACTCAAATTGAACAAACTGGAATATTATTCTTCATTAGGGCTAAAATTGAAATATATAAAAGTTTTCATTCATTTTTTAATTGTAATTCAAACAATGCTCATTAACAGCTCTATACCTAGGCCAGTGTTTTTTAGAGCAGGGCTCTCTGACCTGTTTTCCTCTGAGAGCTGCTTCTACAAAAATTTAAATTAATTAATGTTTTTACTTAGCACAGTTAATCACTATCACTTGCCGCCTGTAAAGCTTTAATTACTCTTCATTAAAACATAGAATAATTATTATGTTTTTATGGGCTTGCTATAATCTACCTTAATGCAATCCACTATTTCCAATTATAATGCATGGTTAATCAATAATCTATATCGGCATACACTGGAGTTAAAATGAAAAGTTTTGCATTGTTATCCAAATAAATGAATCTTAAGTACTCGTTCATAACACAGAACAAACACCCCGTCCCAGGACTAATGTCCTCTGTGTTTGCCTTGTCATTCCTTCAGATAGTGTGTTTGGTTGCCATCTGGACACGTTGTGTGCACAGGAGAGGACCACGGTTCCAAGTTTTGTGGAGAGATGTATCAAATCAGTAGAAAAGAGAGGTGATGTCAAAATTCTGCAAACAGTTTTGTTGTGTGCAGCAGAGTTATTTTGTTAAAATATCAAACTGTGTGTTTATGTCCAGGTTTGGACATCGATGGACTCTACAGGGTGAGTGGAAACCTGGCAGTTATTCAGAAACTACGCTTCAAAGCTGACCATGGTAAATATACTGCATCAGTACATGACTTCACACAGACAACTGCGCCCTCTGTCGGCACTTAACCAGTTGTGCAACTGTTATGTTAAAACAGAGGAGCTGGACCTTGAAGACGGTCAGTGGGAGGACGTTCACGTTATCACTGGAGCACTGAAGTTGTTTTTCAGGGAGCTTCCTGAGCCGCTCTCCCCTTACGGTCACTTTGCCAGCTTCATCACAGCAATCAGTAAACAGATCCAGATCCATTTATATTTCATAAATATTGTATATGTATTTTCTTTTAAAGAGTGGTTACTAAATTCTCTTCTCTTTTGTAGGAATTCCTGATCACGACGCAAAACTGTCCCATATGCGTGAACTAGTCAAATCACTTCCTCCTCCCAATCATGACACCATGGAACTACTTTTTGGTCATTTGTGCAGGTAAACTTTTAGAAAAAATCTTTATTTAGTTTCACATGAAGGTTTTGGAAATTAAAAAAAAAACAAAACTAATAATGAGTTTGCGTTCCCCTGACAGGGTCATCCAGTATGGGGAGGTCAATCGGATGTCGGTACAGAATGTTGCCATTGTGTTTGGCCCCACACTGCTCCGGCCCGAGACGGAAAGCAACATTGCAATGAACATGGTTTATCAGAACCAAATAGTGGAGTTTATTCTCAATAAATATGAGGGCATTTTCCACTAAAGTTAAAGCAGCTACAAGGCTTTAGTGCAGACCTACTGCCGTTCTTTAAAGTGCTAGAATTTTTACAGCAAGTTAAGGCTCTTCAAGCATTCTCTGCCTAGATTATTTGAAGGTTCATCATACTGTATGAGGTACAATAGGACATTTCCTATTGTCTTTGTTAAGAAGATTTAAAGCCAACATAACCACTGTTTTGTCCAGTTTTATTCCTATAAAGCTCCTAGAACAGTCTTTGGAGGATTAGTCTGCCTAGGTATTGCTGTGAGCAAATGAGCTGGGTTCTTGTTTAAGACTCAAACTTGGTCCAATTGCTTCTGATCCCAGATGTTGTAGTTTTTCCAAACCCACAAGTCACTTTTTGTGTCTAATTTACTATTGTAATACAACCAGTTTTCAGACATGAGACAGTGCATCAATAACAGCTTACATCTATACTGCAGACAGTATAATGACTTCAATTATTTTTCAGAGTTGACATTTAAAATATCACACAATGCAATAAATTAAGTTATGTTCTAATACTGCCAATTTAATTTTTTATCTATGAATAAACTTATTGTAATATAGAGATTGTTGAAAGGCAAATATGTATTAATACAAATATTTTACCATGTACTAGAGTAAATGTTCACATTGGATATTTTTCACAGAATTTTAAAACATGTTTTATTTCTGAAAATGCTGTACTTGAATAATACCAACAAAAGAAGAAAATTAAATATTAGAACAAACATCATGTCCTGTAAATAGAAATAGATGGCATATTTATGCTGTATGGTGTTGGAAATATACAAGTTATTCAATAATGATAATAATAAAGTAACTTTGTTTAAAAAAAACTTGTCTGACTTTGTTTTCTTTAACTAAATGAATAAAAAATAATTGTGACCAAGTCTTGGAAAAACATGCGCAAAAGAAAATTGAAGTGCAAGTCAGGTAAAAGTACTAAAAAAATATATTAATTTGTGATCCATATTGATGCCAATACATTACGAAATATTAGGTACATACATAGAGTCGATCTACTTATATATATATATATATATATAATCACTTCCTCCTCCCAATCATGACACCATGGAACTACTTTTTGGTCATTTGTGCAGGTAAACTTTTTTTAACCGAAAATATGTTATTTTTGTTTATACAAATGTGTTTGCTTGAAGTTATCCGTCAAAGCGCTGTTAGTCGGACTCATTTGATGTGGTGGACCGGCTTCCGGAAGCTGTCAGCTGTGGAAACACCTAATCAACTGCAATGAGTTTTGAGTGGCCGTGGCAGTACAATTTTCCACCGTTTTTTACGTAAGTCTGCTTCTTACCTGACACATTTTGTACCCTGTGTATATATTTAACCAATTTCCATCCTGTTTTTAATAGACTGAATCGTAGTGTAGTATTTACTAAATTACTGTCATATTAGCCGGTTAGCAACCTGTGCTACGAAGAAGGGAAATAGAAATACTCAGCTACGGGACATAGGCAAGTTATATAGGCAAGACTCAGTATTTTTTATTTGCGGATTTTCTAATGCCGCTCTTAACGGAAACCCTAAAACTTAGCAGTGTTTCTTTTAATTTGACTCGACATGCAATGTCAGACCATTTGGCTGCTAGCTGTAGCTAGTTGCTTTGACAACTCTGTTTCACTCTCAGCTGCCAACTATTGAACCAGAGGTGCGGTCAGTTATTTGGTAAGAAGTGCAGTGAAGAGCACACAGTTATTAACATCTATGTTTAGTCGAATGCCATAATGTAACAGTACTACACCGGTACATGTAAAAGCTTTTGAAGTATATACATCTTACAGCAAGTAATGATAACCATTATTCATATTCATTATTATTATTTAGTAATATTTGTATTAGTTGATGCCGTGTATTTTAATTTGGTGTTAAAAAATAAGGAAAATATGGCTACATTAAAAAAATGTAACCGTGACAATATTTACATTTTAATATATAAATTACCATGTGTATATATAGATGATTGTGATATATATCAATTAGTCACCAGAAAGAAAGAACAAAGAGCTACTTCTGCTATTGTGCCCAAACCTGGCACTATCCACATACTACAACAGCATAACGTGGTTAGTGGAAGTAAATACACAGAACACAGTGTTATCATTTTTCCTGTGCTGCGTTTAACTATGTGTTTTGTGCCGTACACTTGTGACTATTTTGAAATTTACTCGGACCGTGCAACAAGGTTCTGTGATAAGTGTTGAAATGGCAGCACTGATGCAAATAATACTTAAAATTCACTGATAACATTTGATAAAACCATGTTAGCTCTGTGCACTTCCCTTTCTTTGGAACTGATTTTATTCATGTGTGCTGTGAGATAAATGCATCAAAAAGTGTTTGATAGCCGTCACAGAGTGTAGACATAATAATTCAATCTCATTATCAGAGTTCAGAAAGTCTCACTTGTGGTTATTACATTACATTAGATTACATTTCCTGGAAGTGTCACCGGGTCAGGGAAAAAGTGAGAATACTCTGAAACTTGAATCTAAATTATTAAGTACACATGACATTTTTGGTTTTCAGGCCAATAATAGCTGATATTAACATTTTTAAATATAAACCACTTTGTACATGAGAAATTTAAAATCTGAACATGACCACATTCAGACCTTAGTTTGGGTTGTTGGTAAATATTTTTTTATTGCCGTTTACAATAACTTGCTGGTACTCTGTTGTCATAGTCATTTTTGTGCCTTTAGTTTTGTCTTTGACTTTTGGCGTTTGTCATTTCAAACAATGACAATTCATTTTTAGTTTTGGGACCTGTTTTAATTATTCTGTACAAATAACACACAACCAAAAGAAAAAGATTATTCATAAAAGGGCTATGTACTGCACAAATGTATTAATGCTGTACAATTGACGTATTGTAATAAAACGGTTTACCAGGATTTGCTGACATGCAAACAACATTAAAGCAGAAATGTCCTCGTCACTTTCCCCTGGTCATATATGAAGTGTATGTTATCTTTCTGTGTTTCTGTTCTATCTGTTTAATGTACTTTATACTTTTTCCTATTATACCTTTTTTGAACAGGTTACAGCCTAATGTTGACACTAGACAGAAGCAGCTGGCAGCATGGTGTTCCCTCGCCCTCACTTACTGCCGCCATCACAAGCTCTACACCCTGGACATCATGGAAGCTCAGGAGAGCCCTGTCTTCAACAACAAGAAGATAGAACGTATCATAAAAACAGTCCACCTGTGGTTTATAACCAGTGTCGACAATTAATCTTACATGACACAGATTGATCTGTTATACTGAATGTATATAAAGAAATGATGTTTTATGATCTTCTTTAATGTTTACACACATGCTGAGTCAAGGGTTTAAAGACTGATGCCTTTATAGGGTTATAAAAGTACATTCTACCCTGAAGAAACTAAAGTTGACACATATCACACTCAAGGGTAGACCTTAGAAGCATTTTAGTATTGCACCAACCATTACAGTGTGTCAACTCGATTCACCAGGGCTAAATGACTAACCGATAAATCACTCAGTCTGCTGTGATTAAAATATCCAAGAAAAGACACTAAATATTTATCAACGAAACACCGAAGTTGTGATTTAATGCAAGATCGTTGTTTTGGTTTTCTGTGATGTGAAATTGAACCTTAACTGAATCACAGGAAAACTGTCTATGGAAGCAATTCAAGTTGTATTTGAGGAGCTACGGAAAAAAGGTACATTTTAAAAAAAAAAGTATTTGGTTCTAAATTATCTAAAAAGTTGATTTGAAGATATTGTAAATACAGACAATGAATGAGCTTTTAATTGTTCTGACCTCAGGTAACCTGGAATGGCTGGACAAAAACAAGTCCCGGTGTTTAGTCATGTGGAGACGACCGGAGGAATGGGGCAAGTTAATATACCAGTGGGTGAGTCATCAAACTGAGAGACAAGGTGTTCTGTCTGTGAGAGTGCAATTTTGTCCATTAGCCGAGCTGATAGGACACACAGGGAAGAAAGTGTTCTTGACAGCAGTAAACAAGAGAAAATTCAGGAGTTTATTTTTTTTAGATAAATATTATCTACAATTAATGTGGTAATCAAGGTCATTTCATGCAGTACTATGAGTACTAACTGAATGTGTTTATTGTGTTTTTTTTTAGTTAGAAATAGTAACTTTGCTCTTTGGGTTTTGGTGAGACCAGGCTTAGACACTGGCTGCAGAATTCATAAACACATTTTAGTTGTGCTTCAGTTAATGTGTTTCAATATGTTGTTTGATTACCATGGTAACCAGAGAGGCTGTGTCCTAAATGAGGCTCAACAAAGCAGAGTTTACGGTGAAAAGCCTGACCTAAATTATCCTAACAAATAGGTAAGGGCTCAGTGTGTTACATGAAGCAGGTGTGGGCAACATTATGAGCAGGTCCTGTTTTTACAACTAGGTAACAAAAACAAAAAGTATGGGTTTTTTTCAGTAAAAACCAAATTCAGTTTGACCATGAATTGTAAAAGGCTGAACATTCAAAGAATCAAACATGTTTTTCCCTCTGACAGTGACCAACGTTCTGTTTTCTAATTACATAGGTTTCCAGAAACGGGATGGTCAACTCTGTGTTTACGCTGTATGAATTGTCCAATGGTGATGACGCAGAGAGTGAAGGTATGTACCATGAATTTTAATCAGCATCCATTAATTAAAGATGACTCATTTTATGTTCCAAGGTTACAATGCTTAAATGCTAGACTTTTATTCATGTTGAAATAAAGAGTTTTTAAAAACAATATCAACAATTATCTCTTTTATTACGTTTTATACTGTTTGTTTGTATGTAAGTGTTAAAACAACTAGTGCAAAACATAACTAAACAATACTATTTACTCAACTAGTATAAACAAATTGATGCGATCTGTCATGTCGGCACTGCTAATAAGTTGTTTTACTGTAGAACACAGTTTTGAACCATGATACTTTTGCAGGTGATCTACACACAGAGCTTGTATGTATAATGTATGTGGCTGTCAGTGTCTGTCCTTAAATGTTCAGTCTCTACACAGTTTTATAAAAGAATTGATTAAACTGGCAACAGAAGTCCAGTATTGCACATCAGGTCCAAGCAATACGGGCTTGACTCTATCTGTACGTTCTCCTGACGTGAACATGTCATTTATTAAAGTTTCTGATGCTGCTGAGATAAATTGTGCACGGGTTAATTCCGTAGTGAGCGGCGCAGTTTGATGCAAGATTTAGGGACTTGAAAATTTAGGGACAGAATCCCAAAGCTTGGGTAGTAGAAACCTGTGAGAGAACGATGGAGAACTTGGAAGAAAAAAAATCCTATACAGTGAAACAGCTTTGCGTTTTAAACCTTGAGCTTCACTAAGTCAGTCTGTTTTGCCAGCAAGATTTCTTCAAAAGCAACTTGAAGACGGTAAGCCATGAAAACTCTATTCACCTTTGAAAAGACAGGAACATATGACTGGGACGGTGCCGAAGAGCAGGGACTAACATAGAAGGCCTAGGTTTGTTTAGATGTTGGGTTCATTCAGGTTGGACAATAATAATAACAATAAACACCAGGGCTCTTATTTACCATGTTTAACCACTGAGCTAAAAAAACTATATTTAAAAAAACAAAACAGTTAATATATTCATCTTCCCTGAAACCTCTCAAACTAACCCATCTCGTTTTCTTCCAGAATTCCACGGCCTTGAAGAGTGGATGCTTTTACGCTCACTGCAGGCTTTACAGTCGGACGGGAAAGCAGAGATCATCACCATGGATGAGGGGAAAGGGGTCAAATTTTTCTAGAACGGTGCTGGAAACGCGCTTTATCTGTCTCGTCCGAGTCCGCAAATTTTTTTTATGTTTGGGAGGTTAAGGCTACACGAGGTTGCACCTGAGTGCCCTGCCCAGCTGGTGGGGATCCAGTTCATGTTGTTGCCTTTTGGTTCGCTCGACCTCTTAACCTTTTTTTTATTGAAGCAGAACCAAGACCAATTTATAAGGGTGAAAAAAAGACCATCTGAGGTGACGCTTGTTGACATTTAAGTCTATCAGAGGACTAAGTACTATTCTTTTGAAAATTTTAGGGGGAAGTCTTTCCTCTCTAGCTGTAACGTTGCTCATGAACCAAGCATGTTAAAGTACGCAACATCACAAGGACTGTTCATTGTTTATCATGTTGAGAATATATGCTTCCGGAAGCAGGACACCCCAGAGACTTGAATTACCAATTATGACTCGCATTAAGTGTAACGAAATTGGATCTTCATATTGAAATCACTGTCATTAATTGAATGTGCAGTAACTACTGTGACACTCCTCTCTTTGAATTCAACTTTTTTCATATAATGCAGAAAAAATAAATGTTTGTTTAAAAAAAAAGGAATCTGCAAATATTAAAGAAAAACGATTTCTCAACGGCACACATGTCAAACTCAAGGACTGGGGGCCAAATGTGGCCCGCCAAGCTGTTTTGTGTGGCCCACAGGAGCTTAAAAAGCATTTAGTTAAGCCCATGCAGCAGAGGTTCTTAACCTATAAAATTAAACGTTTATTTTTATTACACAGCGATGAACAATATTTTTAGCTCGAATAAATAATAATCAATTGCAGAAACATGTCTTAATCTGTTATGGAGTAGTTACATCTATACCAGTGGCCCCTGACCTTTTTTGTTCCTGGACTGGTCAGCCAGTACCAGCTGTTTGTACAGACTGGTACCAAGGTGCTGAGCATTGAAGGATCATTAAATCTTTTTAAAATAAAACATCTTTTAGGCTTTTATTCTGTTAGTATCAGAGTCTGAATGACATTATTTTAAAATATTTCCAGATTTTCTTTAAATAAAGTAAATGGATATGACTGGATTTTCTTGAATGAAGTAAAGTAGTAAAAATCAAGTACATTTTTTCCACTGTGTCCTACTGCGGCCCGGTGCCAAGTGACCTATGGACTGCTACTGGTCCATGGACCGGGGTTGGGGACCCCTGATCTATACAGTCTTCCATTTTCAACCGGCTCTTCAAGGGAAACTGTACTGCTGATGTGGCCCCTGGTGAAAATGAGTTTGACACCCCTGCTGTAGAATATATGTCAACATCATCTCCATACATACATGACATGTTTTTAAGGTGTTTGACGTTGGTGCAGCATCCCTAGATGTAATTAATTTTCAGATGAGACAACAGATGATGGGGTGTTCTCTTCCCTCTTATTTAAAAAGAGCACAGTTTTCTTTACAGAACATATAATTTAATCTTTCACACGAACCCTCCTGTTTTACAGAACAAACTAGCATTTGTTTTGAGCCAGAACCGTAGACCGCGCCCCCAGAGTGGGCAGTAGGGTGCAGACGTGCAGAGTGAAACCACAGTGATGGAGCAGTCGGTACACTGTGACTGTGAATGAAGGTACATGCACCAGTCGGGCTGATGTCAGAGCTCCAGAGAATCCAGTGTGTGAGCCGATAACACGCAGTGTGATCTGCAGGGACAGGTGGGGGCCTAATGTGCTAATAAAGGTGTCCTGTTACTGCAGCAACAAGCACAGCTCCATCTACTGGCACACTGCTGTATTTCGCCAAATCGGAGCTTATCTGCTGGGGACACATTGATAGAAGACTGACGATGCGAAAGCCTTGGTTATATCTGAATTCAGAGAAACCTGAGTTTTCGTCATTGACGCATCAGCTGGAAGAGGAGCATATTCGCATGAATTTCAACTTCTGCACATGATGAACCTTTGATGTCAGAAAGATGGTCTATTTTCTGTGAAAATAAAAACATTTTTGCACAATGTAGCTTTTTATTTTTTTTTCAAACATACATTCGTACGTGTCCCAAACAAGCCTTTAGTGTCTTGTTTCGGACATTAGGTTTTTCACAACAAGCCAAAAATGAAAAAGGGAACGCATTCTTATGAAAAGTTGTGGTTTTACCGAGTACTGGTCTGCAAACTGCAGTAATTTGCTCCCTTCGGCTCGACCTATAGGCGCGTCAAAGTTGCGAGGGGCGGAGTTGGAAGTGCGTACTCGGAGCGCCCTCGCTGGTCATAATATAGGCTGCTCCGTTCTTGCAGCGAAGGTTATGGCTGAAGACTTTGGTCGGGAGAAGGTGACAGCAGTCAGTATTTAATTTGGAGTATGTGTTACAGTGCGCGTTTGTGAACGACTCTTGCGCTGTTATGAGTAAGTATTCTGTATTTTCCTGCGTTTGATCAGTTTGATCTATTCTAACTAGTTTACATTTGAGTGTGATCTAAACAGGGGTGTAAGAGACATCTAATGTGTGTTCTATGCCCCTGACTCAATTGACATCTCGGAAAAGTAACGGTACTCTTCTGTCCTAATGCCATTTCCACATTTAGGCTCTGGAGACAGAAGACCTTGAACCTGCAACCATGTCCCATGCTCAGGTTGAGATACCAGGACGCGTTTTCCCAGGTCTGTCTGTCAACATGAGCGACGACTGTCTGTCCAGGGTGCCATCCGTGCTCAGGACGCACGGCTTGGGCGCACGGAGAAACTCCTACGGGCTGCAGAAAATCAGCATGGACATTGATTCGTCTCTGTACAGCGGCGCTCTCTCCAAAACCCTCTCCTGGTCAGCTGAGAATATTCCAACACTCTGCGAGTCCAGAGCGGAGGAAGAAAAAGCCCAAGACTCACCGCAGTCTCCGTCGCCGGCTTCCAGTCCAGGTACCAGCTCCAACACGCCCCTCAGCAGCCAGGAGCCCGACGCCGGCTGTCTCCCAGAAAACTGGGATCCCGTGGCGAGATCGAGCGCCCACGAGGCCAGTTCAGATTCTGAGAATGACAAACCACAACACAAGATCCTGTCTCGCTTCAAGATTGATACACAGTGGGAGCAGGAAGAGAAAGAAGACGTGGAGACCAAAGCCGTGGCAACCTCACCTGATGGGAGATATCTGAAATTCAACATAGAGATTGGAAGAGGGTCCTTCAAGACCGTCTATAAAGGACTGGACACAGAGACGACAGTGGAGGTGGCATGGTGTGAACTACAGGTAAGGATAAAAAAAAGTCTAGAATTTAAGTTGCCAAACAGGAAAAGTCATTCAGTTTACCAGGTTCTGACTGGACCTGTATGGAGATTGTTTTTTTTTTCTTCCCCCAGTTTAAATCTATATATGACTTTGTAGCCTCCTAAACTTAGCTTTAAACCAGCATCAGCATTTATATTGGTTGTTGGACTTAAGTCGGGCTGTTTCAGGCCTGTAACAGCCGGTCATACCATCAGCAGCCGGTCCAACTGAACCTCTCACTCTACATGCTGCCATGATCCCCTCTCTAATCTCTGTTTTTGTTATCAACTGCTCACCATAAGGCAAGCTCTCTCACGTGAACACTGGGAGCAACTGATGGGCAGCTGAGATGAGCCACTGACACTGTTCCAGTCTGATACTACAGACAGAATGTACAGCCTGTGCAGAGATGTGTCTATTGAATTTAGCTCCATGTGTTGTGCCAGCATCTTATTTTTCAACTGTGGTGATTAGAAGTGAGGCAGGCCTAGTGTCAGTATTTGCAAATATTACAGGCAACAGTAACAGCTGCCACTTTTCTTGCTTGCATGGTTCAATATCACAACGTGTGATTTAAGTTTTACACCTCAACACCACACTTTATCAACACTGAAAAAGCTCTCCACAGCTGAATGGTTAAGAACAGGCAACTCTGGAGGAATCACTGGAGGACAGATAGTCAGGGATTAGACAGCGTAATGGGAATCTGCCCCCAAACCTCATTCTGCAGCAGCCACAGGTGGGGACTTCTTCCCGGAGGAGACCACCTGTCACTTCACTGCAGGTGTCCTCCTATGGTGCAGACAGAATCTCATTTAAGTCTCAGTTTTGGTTAAAGATGCAGCCTTGACTCAAACTCTTTAACTGTAGGTGTTCATCACTGTTAGGATTTTGATATTTAAAGCCCACTGCCCTCTTAACCTGAGACAACACATCAAATTAGTGCTGCAGCTCTGTGGCCTTGGGACAGGCTGGAAACAGACCCACTGTTTTACCTCCTTCGCTAGGATATAAGTGCAGTTAAGCTTCCTAATCACTTCCAAGAAGCTTAAACACGGCCGTTGTTGACATGGTGACTGCTGCGATAAGTTAACCTCAAAGACACAGATTCGGCTGTAGTTCAAATTCTGTCCGTCCTTCACTTGTGCCCCAGTGGCTTTAAAGAACAAAAGCTGGCTGTTGGTGGCAAAACACAATCTCTCTCACAGTGTTGATGGAGCAGCAGTGGAAGGTGCGTCACATCAAGTCAAGTAGAAACACTGTAAGCTTCTTTATTAGCAGGAATTCTTAAACATGGAGCCCTTACCAGATGCTTTTTATTTGCCTTATCATTTTGGTTGTCAGTGTACTGTTGGTTTTAACACAGAGCACATGTCTGCCTGGGTGTTGTCCAGTGGAACCGTTCCACTTTGTTCTGTCACACAAAAAAGTAAACAAAGCAGTGAAGTTCTTCCATGACATTCAATACAGCAGCTCATCCGTGTCACTCCTTCAAACTAAACAAATGATTAAATATCCCTGTGATGCAGTAGTAAAGCGACAACTGTAGTGTTTATAAGAGTCAAAAATTAGTAAAACTGTAAAATGACCTTGAAATATCTACTTTTTTTATAAATTGTCATAACCAGGGTTTTATTGCCCTGTAAATATACTAGTTAACCTTTGCAGAAATATAGGTAAAATGCATCCATCATACCTTGTGTAACACCAACAACTGCCATATATTTTGCTATGTAGGTCATAGTATTAAAGAGATTTGGTTTTTGTGCAAATCTAAATTATTATATGATTAGGTGTGAAGTAAAACACTGTCAAAAAGAATGTAGTGTTTGTAGATTAAAGACAGACGAAAATAGGCCCATATTAAATAAATTAAAACAACTTAGAGAAGCCCAAATACACCTGAACTTAACTAAAGCCATTAACAAATGAACTTAAAGTATAGCTAGCACAAATTAACATTAAGTATCTGAAGGAATACTCTTCCTACTGTTGCTAAATAAAAATTGAAAAATTGCCCAGGTGACAGCTACCTGGCAACCCTGCCTGTACGCTGGGACAGACAAGTTGTGTGCACTACAGTGGATGTAGAGTGAGCCTAAAGCAAACGTGGAAGTGATAAAAAAAATGGATGAGTTATTACTAAAGTCCCTCCCCTGGGTCCATTCATCAGGTGGAGTAAAAGTCTTTACAACCTGACATACTTCTGCTGTTGTATTTCACTGTTATGTGAGGGCATCAAACTGCATTATCAGAGGAGATGTGGGCATTGCCTACGACTTACATGTGTCCTCCTTTTCCAGGACATTTGTCGCACATTGTCCAGGTGGCACTTTCTCCTGCCCCCGGGCCTGCAGCAGACGCTCAGACCCTTTAATAGTCTCATGTTTCTGTTTTTAAACCTCAATATTCACGCTCCAAGCACAGTGCTCCACTTTAGCACAGCCACCTGCATTTTAAGCGCTATACAAGTTACTGTATGTGCCTGTGTGCATGAAACAGTATGCACAACCAACCAAAGCTGACTCAGACATACTGTGCTGTTGATGATCAAGCCTGTGTGTGGTCATGTTGTCATATGCATTTCTGTTTTCTGACAGTTCTTAACTTAATGAGGACTTTCCATAATTACAAGCCCCTTTATAACGGACCTGGCCTGATGGTTTATTCTACATTCATTTCACCCATTTCACTTATTCTATTTATTATTCCTGTCTTCATGTTGAAGGCCCATCTGCAGCAGGTAACTTCAGGTTAAGTGTCTTGTCCAGGCACACTTTGGCATCACCATGAATGAATTGTGGGCCCTGAAGTTCAAGCCCATGTATTCGCAGCAGGTTCAAATGAAGTAGTGTAATCCTTTAAAACCCTGGCCAACAACTGTGTGACATTTGTATTGACTTCTAACAACAAAGAATTAATTTTGTTTGGCACACATTTTCTCTTGAACTTAACCTGCAAGGGCCGCATACAAGGCAGCCTGTGTGAGCTTTATCTGAATGTGGTTAGTGTTCAGTGACATAACACAAGCTGTGGGCCCTCTATCAGCTCCACTGTTGCCAACAACAACAACAGCGTTTCTGCTCGTGAACTATCGCTAAAACCAGGTTCACTTTATCAGAGCCACGTAATGTTCTCTGAGGAGACAGTGAAGGAGGCTCACAACCCTACACTGCCATCACACTTGGCAGCACGTCACTTTGACGTAAGAGCTACTTTTTTCCTCATCTATTTTTAATGAGCTCTGAGCGGTCTTGAAAGGAAGGCCACACTGTGTCACCTTTAAAAACCTACACTGTACTAAACGTGCAATCATCGAGTGATTTGTACTGTGAGATACAGCCTGTCTCTTCCACGACCTGCTGCAGATAACAGTGTCACACTGGCTGCTCTTGATAGTCTCAGTGTCTTTTTTAGGGTGGACACTGATGGCACAAGCTGGGGCAACATCAGAGTTCTGTGATCAGGGGCCCGGGGGTTTGTTTACTGTGTTTGTGTGTTTCTATTGGAAACTGAAAGTGTGTTTGTGCCTGTGAAAGGAAGTCTATTCCTGTTTTTTTTGTTTTTTGTTTTTTTTTAATACATGGTAGCTGGATTATTTACTTTACATGTGACAGTAGGAAAATGTGAGTCGTACAACTTATAAAAAAGACACAGTATTGATGAGTTTGATAATAAAACAGTCTTAAAATGAAACTTCACTTACAGACGATTAGGTGGACAGTCCTTCAAGTATCTTGATCAAGGACACATTGACATCTAAACCTGGTTAGTCTTGGATCAAGCCTCCAACCTCCACATGTAACTTTTTTTCTGGGCCTTCAGCTGACCATAGCGTTGTCAGATATACCATTAAAGTCACCTTGGAGAAACAGCATTGGCTAAGAATATTCTGGATTAATACAATCCAGAATACACATCACCAAGAGACCACAAAAATAGCCTACATTTTATTTAAATGTATTTGAGCAGCTTCTGCTATTTTACGTATGGGCCAGATAATAGCCCGTTATCTAAACATGGAATCAAACCCCAGACCTTGTGTTAAAGTTTGAACCATTTTGCCTTCTGTTCCACAGCAGCTCCAGAACAAAAGGTTTATTTGATATATGAATTGGCAACAGCTTAAATAGGGTCATGAGGCTGGGAAGGTAAACATGACAGACCAGTTTTTTAAAATATGTATTTGTTGGTTTAACTTAATCTACCTCCTGTATGCAAAGCTAGGAAATTAGCATGTACTTTATTTTACTTCTGTTACAATAATGTAATGATTAGAAAAAATGTCTCTAAACTAAGTTATCACTGAAAGAAGAAGAAACGCAGAGGGGAGCTAAGAGTTTTCCTTGCTTCTGCATGATTGATTTTTATCCTTTATACTTTGTCCAAATCAGTTGTCAATGTCAATGTAATCATCTATCTATCTGTCTATCTATCTCTCTATCTATCTATCTATCTATCTATCTATCTATCTATCTATAATTAGTTTTGTCTACATATTCTGAGAAAGTGGTTACACATTTCCAGTGTCTCAGTGATAGCACTTCACAAAGATAAGATATTCAATTTTCTGTCAAATAAAACAGATGATAGGAAGGAGGGAAGTCCTTGTTTATGAAGCATTTTACAGTTGTATCCTCGTGTGGTTCGTATGGTTCAAGTGATTTAGGTCTAGTTTGAGTGGAGATTATATGTGTGGTTCTTTACCTGAATCATTTTGCCTCCAGGATTGACAGTATGCGACTGTTTGGCTCTTCCTTGATTGGAAAATATGCAGTCACCCTGTAACTCGGATCCTACAGTGAATTGAGTCCTGCTTCAAACCAGAGACCTCAAGTTTTAATAGCTGTTAGTGCACTGAGGCCAACGTTGGTGAAGGAAAAGGCTGCTCTGGGGGTCCGGGGGGGGGGTTACCTCTGGTCATTTCTGAACTGACTGTGTGTGTCAGAGTGAGCAGTATGGAGGCGTGAGGAGCCTAAGCTGCTATGGGATGAATTGGCTGTTGGTGTACAGTAATGGCTGTACCTGTTTGAGGACTGGCACCTTTCAAGAGCGTCAACAAACACTGTAAGGTGTTTTCTTAGCCAACAGAAAACATTTGTCATTTCTGTTCTCACAGGCCTGAACTGTCCTTTCTTACAGTTGTACACATTTATCTTAATAAAAGTGAGTTTCTAAATATTCATAAACATCCATCAGTTTGACTCTTATTAAACGGACTGGGGTTGACAGGGAAAGGACGAGTCATAAATCTTTCAGGTTGTTGCCCTCCCGTGACGTGGGTACCTCTTGCATTCCATGCCTTCTTAAACTGTATCCGGTCCCGGCTGCCAGTGGCACTTGATAGCACATCCTTTTTTGTCTCTGCGTAACGCTATATGCTGCTGCCTTGCACCTGTAGTCAGGGCTGGAGTGGTGTACAAATAAACTTGATACCAAACATGCAGCAACACACGGTTCATTTTTCCTTTTGGTCAGTCTGCAGATGTTTACAAAACACCTGTATGTAGGAAATCTTTATTTCTATATTTTAGACATTTTATATTTATAATGATGAGTATTATATGATGTATCATTAAAAAGGACGGTCATTTTAATTGCAAGATGTGACAAGATAATAGCCTGAGATGGAGACTAATACGCTGTGTTGTTTGGGTCACACATCTGTATGGTCAGTCTTCCGGTCAGTGTGTTGAGCCCTCTTCTATGTCATAGAGGATTAGACTTAAATACAACATAGAGACTTTGACATACAAAACACCACTTTCAACAGTTGCTATTACGAAGTGACGCCAGCAGCTCAGAGGAATTCCCCTCAGGGTTATGCTTTTGAATCCTTACAGATACATATATACTCATGAGCCTGTTGTGGCCTGTCATCTCTTAATGGTTGCACAGATGGTAATTATTGTAAACATTTAGAAGTTGTCAAGGCTCAGTTAATTCTTCATGTTTAGAAGTGGGTTAGCAAGTGGAGTGGATTGTCTTCAAGTTGGTTTGTCCGCTATGTGGATCCATCAGTGAAGACTTCCAGGCTAAAAAAAAACTTGCATACGATCGAGGCATTTTGTCCAGTGTGATGAAGAGTGATGTATTTGTTTCAAACACTAAATAAGAATTCTGTTATAAATTATATCCTAAAATTTTGGTTTTAGATAAAATTGACAAGTGACAGGGATATTGAAGTGTTTTGTTTTATGTTCACTTCACAAGAAATTGATTTATGTTTTATTAGAGCCGTTACATTTTATTTTTTACAGCCCTATGATTTCCTTGTTGTTTAGAGGGCGAAGACATAATTCTTCCTTAATGATTGCAATAAAAATATTCGACCAGAGCACAAGAGCAAAACAGAAAATAAAATCTTCTTTACAGTGGCATATATTAGTTATCAACTTTATGAGCAATAGCTGATCAGAATATTGGACTGGGAGCATGTCGCTCTCACACAGTGACTGCTGGGATTGGCTCTAACCCAACACTGACCTGTGAGTTTAGTGGCCTTTGAAGGGGAGTTAGGGAAGTCTTAGTCTTGTTGCAGTAGTAGGAGATGCACTTGTATGAGGAACATACCAGGTCGTGGCATTTGCTGTATGAATATTCCTCAGGGTGCAGGACAAGCTGCTAAATATGTTTATTTATAGAGAGAGAGAGTGAATCTCATGTGACACACTGACTCCCTTAAATCTGACTTTTTCTGAGTGTAAAGTGTACAGAATGTTGTTTGCAGCATCTGGGGTGAACTCTGCTGCTGTTAGACATTTGTTGTCAGTCTGATATAAAGACCATCATAAACTGTCATCCTTTCTTTCAAACTCTGATGGTCCGATTATATAACCAAGTTACAGTGGATAATTGACTTTGCTGTAACAAATGATCTTTGCTGTTTCTCCAGTGTGTAGTGTTGACCTGATTGTGTTGTGGTATGTGTTCTGAGACTCTCACAGGCCGTGTCTCCCGAGCATCTTGTGATCGCTCTGTGGTTTTTCTTGGATTTGTTAAAAAAGTCAACGTGTTTGTTCCATTCTCTATTCAGATGCCATTTCACTGAGAGGAAACTGTCAGTATATTCTCCCCTCCAGCAGACAGACTTCCTCCCCCTTAAGGGGTTTATTTGACCAGAGTAAAGGAGGAATGGTCTGTGGAGGTCGTAGGTGCCACGGGTCACTGAGGTCTCTATATTGTCAACACACACACGCAAGTGTTAGAGCCACAAAGACAATCATTGTCTGTGAATTATTTATAATTTAGCATGTCCTCAGCCTGGGTAAGTCCCAGACTATAGAGACAGATGTTTGCTTTGCTCATTGTTAGCATGTCCAACAGTTATTAGCTAGGTTTGTTTTTGCTAACATCTAGCAATTTCCAACCACAACTGCATCTTATGAGGTAAAGTAATGGCTTTGTGAAGAAAAAAAGAAAAGAAAAAAAAACATACCTAAAAATACACAGTACAAAATATACAAATGCACAATATTAAAAGACAAAATATACTCTAATACGATAAGGTGAGTTCTAATTAGGCAATCAGTGTGAAAGGCATTTGACAAAGTTTAATAGTGTTTAAAAAAAGAGTCTCAAAGGACTGCACTATTACGGCAGAGCTGTTTATAGAAGATGAGGTTTTACTGTGTGACTAAAAGCAAACTGTAGACGGGTCAGGAGACGTTAAGTATAACAAAGTAAACAGACTAAAGATACAAGATCGTTCAGCTTTCAAATAACGCGAGCCAAGACTCTGTAGAACAAGATTTTACTTGTTGACTTGTAGCCCAAAGAATGTGACCAGGCCAATATTGTCCAATATTAGGGTTTCTAAAACATCAGTTTTAATGTTTAACCCAGACAGCAACATTGCTGTACAAATAGGCTCACTGTGGATTTATGTGACAGTTGTCATTTTTATTCATACAAGAAATACACTGACAGCATTTTATGGCTTCAGCTAAATTGTACTTCAGTTTTTCTACCACAAAAAAAGGAAAAAAACAAAACAAAACAAAACAAAAAAAAACAAATAAATAACTGAGCTGCAGATAGCACTGACCAGGTGCTAGCCAAATACTATTGGACAGTGCTCTGAAAGTTGTGTGTTTCAGACTCACTAGAACTTTTATATATATATATATATATATATAAAAGCTATTCTTGTCCATTGACATACATGAGTGCCAAAGTAATCTTACAATCTAGGTCTTCTATACTTGTGCTGGTAATTAGCTGACCACAGGTTAGGTCAGGTTCTCAGAGTAAGAGCAACTGTTGCCAGTCTGAATCCTCTATCCTTATGAGATTAATGGCTAACCTCCCTCTGCCCGCTCCATTTACAGAACATGTTGGGTTTTCCTTGGAAGGTGCACACTGTTGCCTTAGTTCTTACCTGCAAACACGTGAGAACAACACTGTGCCAGTGTGGGAGCCTGTGTGTATGTTTATACCAAGTATATCAGTCGAGCCAGGTATGTCAGTCTCAGGCCCGTGAGGTCAGGTTGTTTTTCCCCTCTGGGTTGCCTTTGCCCTCAATCCTAACTCTGGGTATGTCAGCTGTCAACACCGGTGATGGACAGTGGGTCAGTAACAGTGAAGCTGTGCAGGTTCGTGCTTGCATAATCTCAGAACCCTCTGGTCTTCGTCAGCACTGCAGGACTCTGGACTGTCAGCCCCTAAGCCCTAGAGCGCTGAAGTAATGGCCTGTTAACAGTGCTTTCAGTAATAAGGAACTGACAGGGAAGAAGAAAGAGGACTCACCTATCACCTATCTGTGGTCCCTAGAAGAATTCACACAGAGGTCACAGTAGTAGAAATAGTCTGGCAGCTGGATAGGACCAGCAGGACTCTACACCTTTGGTTTTATCTGCTAGTATCTACACTGTACTATAGTACTACAATACTACTATAGTTACCCTATTACTGGTTGTTTTTAAAAGGAAAGTTGCAAAATATATACATTTTTAAAGTTTATGGATTTCATGGGAAGTAGTCTAGTTGTAACCTTTGACCTTTGACCTTCCCTGCACTGTTGTGGACAAGCTGTTGACAGCACATTTCTCTCTATTAGACAAAGGCAGCTACAAAGTTCTTATATAATTGTAATAGCATTGCTCCTAACCCTAAACAAACATCCCTGCAGGCGTTACGCAGTGTCACTGTATTTATCCTCGTCAGACTTTGTAGATTCCTACGCATTGGATGTTTTCCGACTCTCGTCTACACTGATGCTATGTATTAACTCTTTGTACCAGTGTGGACCCCACCTGGTATGGTGTAAATGTCAATAGCCAGGTCATGTTCCTGTGCTGGTTGTGATAATAGTGGCGCTGACAGTAACTCCTTCACCATCAACATACACACACACACACACACACACAGAGCCCAAGTATTTGCACCACTGACCAGAGCAGAGACAGCACCTCAGTTTAACGCATAAACACACCTCCTATTGGCTAGGAATAAGACAAAATCACTGGAAGAGACAATGTTATACGACAACATTTACAAAACTATAAAACTGTAACTATACTCTATAATGAATTTACCGGCTGATTTGTTTTTAAAAGGTGGTTTGTTGTCATGCCTGTTCCAATCTGCCTCGCTTCCTCCAGTGTTATGCAATATGTTTGCGTCTTGTTGGTAGAGGAGTACAAGAGGTGGGGGCAGAGGGAGTCAGTCAGTTAGTGGAAAACTGAAGTAGATCCTCTGTCAATATATATTTTTAACCTCACAGCGAAATATCAGTATCGTTAAGCATCATTTAAAATTTGATGACACTAATTTATATTTCAGTGTCACTAATAAAGTAACTGTTGTACATAAATTCCATGACTTTATTATTTTTCATTTATTATGTTAAATTCTGCGTGATGCTCAGCAAAGCGATATTTACACTTAACAGCACTGAAGGTCCCCATTATTTGTTCATCTTTCAGCACTCTCTGACATTCAAAGTGATCCTTTTTTTCAGTTTTGAACGGTGAGTTTGTAAAACAGAGTATGTGAGACAGTTTCATGAATAGTGTTCTTCACTGTGGCCACAGCAGAATTCTGCCTCTTCCAAGAACGCCCGTCTTTACCGTCCTAGAATTTTGCAATCCCAGGATATTGCCGTCCATCCTGCCAGGCTGTAGTAAATGTCGTGGTTTTGGACGGGGCAGAGTTTCCAGCAGGGGTTCAGCTGCACGCCACAGCTAATGAGTGCTACACTGACTCTGTGCCGTAACATCCACTGACTCTCCGCGTTATTGACTATCCACAGGAGACAAAGCTGGCTTCACAGGGGCCTGATGTTATCACACTTAGATAATAACCAGATGTACATCAACCCATAAACCCACTGACTCACTCACTCTGGCTTTTCATCAACTACACACACACACACACACACACACATGCATGCCTGCAGTAAATAATATCATTGTCAAATGATATGATCAAAAACCAGTGATGTATGGCACGTGGCAGTGAACCTTGAAATAATGCTGATCATCTTGGCCATGAAGCTCAGTTAAACATTCATGTATTTGACAGTATTACATTTAGTTGAAGCAGACGCACCTCAAGGCTATATATGCACTTAATGATTTATTAGTTTCTATTTAAATCAGCTAACCTCAGGATGTTGCTAACTGTTAGGCAGAACTCTTACATAAGCCTCCTATTTTGTTTTGGGTGTTAGAGTTACCTTTTGGCAACTTTCAGTCTATTTGTTTAGCTAACCTGTAGCCTTTTTGCACTTATTATTCTTTATTATGCCTACATTTCTATCTGCTATTCCTGGCCAACTCCAAGGCTGCGCCTGGGTTTATTTGCTTTAGATATCAGCTAATCGCATCAGCTCTACCAAGAGGCCAATTCATTTTTTTATGAAGTCTAAGTTTCCTTATGAATCATTTCAACTCCAGATAATGTCAACCATTTCTGACAGAGCTCTTACATACACGGAATAAACTGCAGCTTGTGCTCTGGCTGGTGACTGATCTGTATCGACGCAGAGGTAAACCTTTTAGTCACAAGTCACCACTAAGTCTTGCCTTTGAGTTTGTGGGCCTCCTGTTGGAATCACAGGGTGTAATGTGCACCTCTAACAGGTGAGTGACACCAGCAAAATAGAGCCTCTCCTTGTGCGACAGCAGACAGTGTGGTTCCTCAGACAGCCTCGGTGTTGATGCTGCAGCAGCAGAGGAGCTTCCTAACCTGTACTGGGGAGGAGCTGAGAGGAAGGAGAAAGAGTGGTGGTCATGTTGATTGTACACATAAACCCCTTCAGAGAGGTCCCCCCCCCCCCCGTTTTCTTAGTAATCCACCTCAATGCAGGATTTATGTTTTCTGAAATCTCCCAGGAGTTTTTCCACCAACCACCCACCACAGACAGGGTTACTCCATCGGCAGTAAAATTGGACCATTCATCCAAGAGGAAGCACAAAAATGTCTTTGTTCATCCAGCATGGTTGCAGTGTTGGCTTAAGGTTTACACTGATTTTTAGAAAGCTCGTCTTTAAGTTTGGAAAAAGTCAGTGTTTCCTTATAGGAACGCACGTGATTATGTAAGAGTCGGGGAGGTCACATAGATGGATGAACCTGTGGTTTCCAGTCATGCAGCGAGCTCATTAGTTAAAGTAACAGTGATTTATCAAATTGCTCCTCTGAATGTATGTACATTTTCTGTCGGCCACTTACATAACCAGTCATACTGTGAAGAAGATCGACAGATCAGAACAGTTACATTTGTAACAGCTGACAAAACAACCAATACATACCACAATCCATTCATAATTTGTTGTGCGTCTTTAGATCATATCATAAGGGTTTTTTTTTTGTAAGTTAAATATATCTTACTGAACCATCAGTCAGTGTTCTCACATGCTCTCTGGTCTCTCTCCAAGTTGTGATTGAACAAGCACGGTTGTCTGGTTCATGTCAATAATTCCTTTGTTTTAGAGGTCTGAGTTAACGGGGTGAGTCACTGGTGGTTTGTGGTCATATGGCTTTGGGTTAACCAGCCGTTGACATTCTTATCACAACTGATGTGTTGACTGAATACAACAACAGAAAGGTTCATCACTACTGGTTGTTTATGACTAAAGAAACCAATCCAACCTTGGCTGCTAACTCAAGCAGAAAAACAAACTATTTAGAGGCTTATGTTCTAACAGCTTTTGTAATCTTCCCCAGCGTAGAGACACGAACGAGTGAGCTGATGTGGTGCTTTCTCTTCTTAGACACGTAAGCTGACCAAGGCTGAGCGCCAGCGCTTCAGTGAGGAGGTGGAGATGTTAAAAGGCCTGCAGCATCCCAACATCGTCCGCTTCCACGACTCCTGGAAGTCCACAGTGAAGGGCCATAAGTGCATCATTCTGGTGACTGAACTCATGACATCAGGCACGCTAAAGACGTAAGTTTTCTGAGCTATAAAATATTATTTCACTCACATTAAACAGAGTTAATTTATAGTAGCTCTAATTAACTCCTAATAAGTTCTCTTACAGTTGTTGGAGCAAGGACTCAGTTTCTCCAAAACCTGTCCTCCAAAACCTTAGCCCTGTCAAAATCAATGATAGATTACCATATTCTGCACAAATCGAAAAAATGTTCCTCCTCTTGCTGTGTTTGGACTGGAGTTGTTTAGTCTGGTCCTCCTTGTTCAGGTACTTGAAGAGGTTCAAGGAGATGAAGCTGAAGCTGCTGCAGCGCTGGAGTCGTCAGATCCTCAAAGGGCTTCACTTTCTGCACACACGCACACCACCCATCATTCACCGTGACCTCAAGTGTGACAACATCTTCATCACCGGCCCCACTGGCTCGGTGAAAATAGGAGATCTGGGCCTGGCCACTCTCAAAAGTGCCTCCTTTGCTAAAAGTGTCATTGGTAGGTACAGCATGAGGATAGTGTGTGTCTGCGGGTTTATCCTGTTTGTCCTAAAACTGAATCTTAAAGAGACAGTGTCCAGGAAGATGTGCAAATCCAGACATGTCTCACAAACGTATCTGTTTTTGTTCTAGACTTTTTCAAAAAATAGACAGGATCGTAGAAGTGTCTGTCAATTTCAGTGGAAACGTTGCTTTTCCCATGGAGTGTGTGTAGGGAGTGTCAGTTTTATTTTTATAACAAACTGTAATGACTTGTTAATACTTGACTCGTGTGATGATGAGCCAGATTTATTGAACTTTGATGTACGATTTGAATGTAGTTTATCTGGTTTTGTTTTTTTAAACGAGAAAAATTTAATCTTCAGCTTGTAACCCTTAAACCCCAATATTAAAAATATTGCAACGGTTTATATTATAAGGTGAATATTACCACAAATTATCTGGTTCCGATAATATTACATCATTGGGCGTTTCCATATGTTTTCATGGAATTATCTGATTTTTGTTTTTACTACTGTCATCCTGACAGGAACACCAGAGTTCATGGCACCGGAGATGTACGAGGAGAAGTATGATGAAGCCGTGGACGTCTACGCCTTTGGAATGTGTATCCTAGAGATGGCCACGTCTGAGTACCCATACTCTGAGTGCCAAAACGCTGCCCAGATCTATCGCAAAGTCACCAGTGTGAGTGAGGGGGAGAGGGATTTGCTTTTGTTTTTTTCAGCTGTACTTAATGTAATTGTCAGCATATGTTTGGATCTTCCATGATTACATTAGAATACCTGCTGTATTTGTCTGGATATCCTGAGTTCTTTGAAACAAGTGGGGCCCACAGGGAATGAAAAGCACTGTTTGTCTATTAAGGGGCTTAGTTTGGTAAATTGAAAGCTTATGGCCATGATATGGTTCAGTGTGAGTTACAGCATGTGTTACTCTACTGGCTTATGCTGTTGTGTTCTTTACAGAGACAAAATGTTTGCGTATAAAATTGAAATTTGCGTCATGTGCTTATGTTTGCAGACGTTATGTTGATGCTTTTTGCAAAGCTTTGCAGGAAGAATAGACTTTTGGAGGAAAATAAATTCCCGTCTTGTATGTTCTATAAATCCCACAGAACAGAAGAAAAAGGTTCTTGTAGCACAGTGAATGCTTTCAAGGCTATAGTATTACAGTGTGTCTGCTGTATTTTAAGCAGCTCTTAAATGTCCCAACTACGGTGGTGATGCCATGGTGGATATAAGCCGAGGATGGTAGAATTACCTGTTTTGGAAATTTTGCCTCATCCTCTCCTCCACACAGAGCACACTTTCTTTCTTCACTCTTACATATGCAACATAAAAACCAAAGTCTGACTTTTTCACTACTGGAAAGAGAGAAAGTGACAATGCCAGTGAGGGGAGGTGGAACTGGCTGCTTCAGAACCAGGACAACAACATCATTTTCCATGTGCTTTTGGAATGATGACAGGAAAAAAAAAAATCATGTTAGCTCTACTGTGGGTTATGTTAAACATTTACATGCAGACCACCTTTAAAATTTATTAGGTTGGCAGGTACCCTACAGCGCATGCAGCTACACAGATAAATGGCTGCCTTGTGTTTGTTTACTGATGCTATTTAGAGGCCCACAGAACGCATAAGAAAAATAAACAAATCATTAATTTTTGGTTCATTAAAAAAATTGTCTAAGTCTACTTCTAAAAATCTTCATCGGTTTGGTGGTTCTTGACCTGAAATGCACTGAAGACCCCTGCACTAGACAATGTCATTACAAAAAAGTCTAATAATCGAGATCTTAATCGAACTTTATCTCAACTCCAGTTTCTACAGAAAAGGCGTGAGGGTCACAAATTAGATGAGAAAATGTGATTTCTTGTGAAGGTGACTGTGAGCACACAAAGAGCCTCTGTTGTCTGCTTCTAAATGACATTTCACCAGTGATGGCATTTTCTTAATGTATGTATGTCTTTTTTGGGCTCCTCCATTCTGATTGGCTCCTGTCACTGTGTGAACTATTTACAGCAGAATTGCTTAAGTGGGTGATGTTATGTAATGGCACAATAATGCTGCTCTTTCCTTTGACATACACAGACAATTGTTTTATCTTGAGGAAGTAAATGGTGGTCATAGCAAAAAAAGATGACAGTCTCTGTGTGGCAGTGATGGTACGTCGAATTAATGAACTTTAACCAAACTATCTTTCAAGAATGCAGTCACAGAAAGGTAAGGGAACACCTGGGTTTTTTCCGTGTTCCTCAGCTCCAGCTGCTCTTGGTCTTTGGTGTTGACATAAATGCAAAGCAGAATGTCATGGTGGTTATTGGCAGATGTCACAAAGCAGAAGACTTTCATGTCATGCAGGTTTAAAGAACTCTCACAGCAGTAATCTTAGTAATAATCAGACAGAAAAGCTATTCTAGTGCCTACTGATGCAAATGCATCCCAAATCAAACGTACCTTAAATTAAAGTGACACATTTTCTCTTACAGGGAATGAAACCTGACAGTTTCTACAAGGTGAAAGTACCTGAATTGAAGGAGATCATTGAGGGCTGCATCCGTATGAACAATGATGAAAGGTACAGATGAAAGAAACGAGTCACAGTGAGCTGTTCGTGCAGACGTTTAATCTCATTTTTATTACTTTATCTGTTCTCTGTTGACTTAACTGATTTTTATTTCCACATTATCTTAAAGTGATGTTTATGCTCCCACGTCCTTTCTTATATTAAAAGGTTGTTGCTGTAAAGTTTAAGTTGCTGTAAAATGATTAAAAAAAACAAAACAAAAAGATTTTAACACTTCCTTCTTAGACAATACATTGAAATATTTAAATATCAGATGCACCCATGCTTTATCGGTTATTGGCTCATGTCCTTCCCTTTGTGCAGGTACACCATTCAAGATCTCCTGGATCACCCTTTCTTTCATGAAAGCAATGGCGTCCACGTGGAGTTGGCGGAGGAGGACGACACGGTGAAGCCTGGCCTGAAGCTGTGGCTGCGAATGGACGACACCAAAAAGCTCCATGGAAAATACAAGGACAACAATGCCATTGAGTTCCTGTTCGAGCTCTACAAAGATGTTCCTGAGGAGGTGGCCCAGGAGATGGTAAGTGACACACTTATGTTTTGAGGTCAACATGTGCTGTAATTCATCAAGTTCAAATTTGAGTCGAAATCTGTCTGATGATTTTATTTAAAAAAAACAAACAAAAAAACAACAACATTTCTTTGCTTTAAATAAATTGGTTCAAATGAAATTATTTTGTAATTGCAGTTTTAACTGACATGTTACTGACATGTTAGTGAAATAAAAGTGTTTTTGTGTGGAGAGGTCTGTTGACATTTGACCTCAGCCGGTGAAAACAGCCTCACTAATGAATCCAGAATCCTTATGCGCCGCTTGCAGTTCTATTATGACAGCGGAAACACAGAAACATGCTCGGGGCTGTAAGAGAAAGGATCGCTGAGTGTGTCAAGGTCACAGCTCAACAATTAATCATCAGTGATTTCATAATGTAAGATAGTGTCTGAGGAAGCGGTCAGGGTCATGCCGTTAATAATAATAACAGCTCTACTGGATGTGACGAACAGACCCATGTGTCTTCTTGAAAACCCCCCTAACAGAGGTCAATTTTAATGAAAATTCATGCCACCGTTCCTGACTTCTTAATGTGTGTGTGCTAGTTTTCATCAAGATCAAATTTGGTATCAGTGAGTGGAACATCTAGACCTCGTCCCGCTGTAATCTGACTATGTGCTGAGTGGCACGTTAAGGCTTAGTATCTCACTCAGCAGGACAAGTAGTCTCAGTAGGCCATGCAGGATGCTAGACTAAAAAATGCCAACCCGTGTGGGTTGAATTTACAGAGTAAAAGTTGTTAGCGCAAATATTACAGCAGCACTCTGCGGCCCATGACTGTGTCTCTACATGTTTTGCCCTGACTAATTTGTGTGTTATCACACAGGTTGTGCTGGGCTTTGTGTGCGAAGCAGACTTCAAGCTTGTGGCCAAGGCCATACGGGACAGGGTGACCGTCATCAAGCGCCAGAGGGAGAAGCTGAGGCGACAGGCAGAAGAGAGAAAGAAGAAGCAGGAGCAGCAAGCCATTGAGGAGGAGCCAGAGCCTCTGCTGCCTTCACCTTTGGTCAGCCATGTTGTCGCAGCTGAGTCCCCCACCCCGGCACTCACACCTCCGGCCACTATCTTGTCCCCCGTCACCAGCTCTGCTGACTCTGGTGTGAGCTCCAACTACCCTGTGGAACCGGAGGAGCCAGAAGCAGATCAACACTTCCACATACGTCACAACAGCCTGTCATCTGCTAACTGTGAGGCTCCTCATGTTCAACTGCTAATTAGCATGAAAATATATTCGTTTCCATTCATGGTGGAAACAAGGTAGTGATTTTTATGCTTTGAGATCAAGAACAAAAAGGTCACGTAGGTGAGGTGATTCAAATGAAGAGAATGAATGTGTTATTCACCACTGTACATCAAACCTTAACATTGCACAAAGAAAAATAGCCCTCATGAAGTACTTTAAATCTCTCTGAACCAGTTGAAAAAATAACCATGAATTATCCAGATAATTAATGTTGAAAAAACCATAACTGTTGCAGAAATCATGAAAATATTTATAATTATAAATAAGTAAAGCTAATCATTCTATATATTACAAAAAAGTAAATAACCATATGAACAAATATATAAATAATATATCTAGTAAAATACAATGTATATAAACAATATGAATTTATCACAATAATGTGATAATATGTATTATAAATGATATATTAATATTCATATAATGTAATAATACCTATTTAATAAATAACAAATATCTTAAATGTGAATAAATGTTAGCCAGAGGACAACAGTATAATAGTTTAGGCTGCAGTGTTGTCATTCTCAAAGTTATAGTTATGGTATGTGTGAGCACAGTCTGTACTTTGAAGTAGTGTGTCCTAGTAATATTCTCAGTATCAGACACGTGTACACTCACATGTACTGCCTCCAGAGGGTTTCACTCTACATTTTCTTTAGTTGTTTTTTAAAGATTTTCTTTTCAGAGCACGTGGTCCGGCAGTAAAATGTAAAGGTGGGAATAACTAAATGACTCCGTTCTTGTACTCACTTTTTAATTCATTCACCATGGCTGCAGTTATTATACATTTCTGTACGTGACCTCTGCAAAATCCTCAGAAATTGCTGTGCTGTGCTTCACATGTTAATGTCTTCCAACCTTTGTTGAAACAGCTGACTGCGAGACAGACGGCGATCTGAGCTCCTCTGGGCTTCAGGACCCTCTGGAGGCCAACGGCCTGGATGTAAACGGACTCCCTGTTCCTGCTCTGCGCTTCCCCTCGGTGAGTAGTGTTAATGAAGAGCCAGCTTTGGTCGTACAGATGTTGCCATTTTAATGCAAACACTAATAAATAAAATAAAAATGATAATTGATCACTTGTACTTTATTGTAGTCACAGTGTTTATAGGAGGATCATTTGTGCCTAAGGTTGTTTTAACATTATTAAATCTAATTCTGACAGATATATTTAATGTTTCAAAAATTAAATTTGTAAAATGTTTATACAGAGCAAATTGATTAGCCTAATAACTAAGTTTATTTTTTTTCTATGTGTTTTCTTGTTATGTTCCTCCTGTGTTTCACAGAGTATTGCGGTATCCAACAACATAGAACATGGCAACTCAGGGCCCGCCAGTGGCTTCAACTCCCCTGTGGACAGGTGAAAGCCATTCTTTTTTTAGCCCACCTTTTTTGCTCTCCCTCCTGACTCTGCTTTTTATGTCGTTTTATGTCATCTCATGAACAATGGAGGTTGGTACAGCATTCTAAAATGAAGTTCTAGCCTTAAAATAAGTGTGAATCTGACACAAATGTGGGCCCTCCCTAGCTCCTCCCCATCCTCCACATCTGTGTGGCTGTGATAACAAGCTTTAGGCAGTCGCTGGGGTCTGCAGTGTTGTTGTTGCACTGAGACAGTGTGGACCCTTGCAGGTTTCTGCGTGACGGTGTCTCAGATGTTGCAGAGGCCCTGTTTTCCATGTTGGTGGGATATTCCGGGCAGGCGAGCCTTTGGTCTCTGCTTGTGCTGATAATGATGTTGCAGATAGTGTGTGTGTGTGTGTGTGTGTGTGTGTGTGTGGTGGTTTTGATCAGCTCAGTGAATCACACTGTCACAGTGAACTCTAGGACTGACTGAGGCTGTGACTACAGTAATTATAGCTTTCATGTATAATCAGTTATCATTATGTATAAGGTTAGGAATTCCTGCAACACTTTTATGCCACAGGGGAAGCAAATGTTTAGAGCAGTAGTTTGGCATTTGCGTGCTAACACTTGATTGGCCCGCCTGCAGTCCAGATCGTTCTTTTATTACAGTTACGTTAAGTCAAAACAGGGAAGATGTCTTTTTTGTCTTTTTTTTGTCCCAAAAATACACCTTAAAGCACATAATGAAATTACAGACTTTGCTTTTGGGTGCTCCAGTTATTCAGAGTTTTTAGTCAACATTCTTAAGTCTTAGGTATGACTGTCAAATACAAAGACATTTGTTGATTTTTCATTCCCCTTAGTTTAAGGAGTAAACAGGCTTTGCTTTGGATTAAAGTTCCTCATGAGGTGGAGATTTATTTGAATAAAGCCTCATGGACACGGTCCAAGCAGTAGCCCTGTAAATGTTAGTAAACATTTGCAGCCAACGCTGGAGAAGGTGGATGGAGGGGAGACCACAGTAATCCAAAAACACCCAGGAGACGTAATTAGCTGAAGCAAAGTGTTTCGTAAAAAAACAACACTCAGTGCTCTCCAGTTCTCTGAAACCCAAAACGTCTACATTGTGTTGACAGAGGTGACGAAACACATGGAAATCTTGCATATTGCTGATGAATGCCAGCTACAGAGTCTGATCAGACCATGTTGAACTGAATAGTTTAATTTTATAGTTTGTAGTTATGGAGACAGGCCACTGTAGCACATCTAGTCAATATTTATCTCTTAGAAGAGTTTTGGATTGTGTTATAGATACCAAGAAAACTTGTTGTAGATTTTTTTAAACCTTCAGAGACCAGGGACTCAGAGGGTTGTCTATGGGTCTATGTTCTAACCAGTACTATAAATTATTTCTCCACAGTTACGCCTCTGATGTGACTTCTGGCTTGAGTGATGGTTATGAGGGTCTGACAGAGAAAGGGGAGAAGACGGCCGCAAGACGAACTGCCGCAAAGCTTTTCCGTAGGAGGGCGCGTTCGAGGCTGCGCATCACAGGGGTACTACAAATCAAACCTTCTAAAGTTTCATTACAGTCATGAGCAATACACAAACAAATAAATCAAAAAGGCAGATTGAGTGATGTGTAAATTAGTGCCAACACTTTACATATGAGTGGGCGATGCTCCGCCCTGATTATACAAGATGATCAGGAGCAGTGCTAAAGCTATGCTGCTTCCTCTCAGTAACCACATTACCTTTCTTTTGTGATGATTCTGTGTTTAAAATGGAGGCAGACAAACAAACGGTGCACAGCCACATGTGTACGCAGTGGTGCACAGCGGTCTCACATTCACATGTTTGTACACATGACCATGTACAAAAATGGCTATTGTTCCTCCTGTGTTTGACTGTGGTCATCGTGGTGGAGAATAAACAGACACATGGAAACGTTCTGTTTCTCCCTGCAGCTCTCTGATAAAGTGGACCGGGTGGTGGAGTGTCAGCTTCAGACCCACAATGACAAGATGGTGACCTTCAAGTTTGACCTGGATGGAGACAATCCTGAGGACATTGCTGCAGTGATGGTGAGACATGAGAAGTGCTGGTCCAGGCACCTATAACCACTTTTGTCTTTTTTTCACCATCACATGAGCACATATCAAAGCCATAAAGTTCAAGGTGTAAAGGACATATTTTTCCTAGGACTGTGAGGGCATCACTGACCTTATATGTGATCACATTTTAGTATTTTGTTTGCAGCTGTGGTCACATGGAGGGAAAAGTAGGGCAAGAAACTTGAATTTCAGTGGGGAATTTGATCCCTGTTTGGAATGATTAAAACAAAAGCACAATTACCACACACTGTGGGGGATAAATGGTAACTCAAATAAACCTGAAGATAGTTTAGTGTAAAAAAACAAAACAATAAAGACTGATCGAACAAGCTGTGCTCTGCTAATAAAAGCATAATTAAAGAAAAATGTTTTTTTTTTAGTTAAAAAAAACAAAGGGATTAATAGTTCAAACTAGTTATCCTCTGTAGATGAGAACTCAGGAGAACAACAAAGTAGAAGTACAGTAGTCAGTGTTAGCTGATAAGCTTGGCAGATTCTGTGTCTCAGCAGAGCATACACATGATTTATTCAGCCTGCAGTTTACAGCCTTCCCTCTGCTCGTTCTAACTCTGACTGATACTTCATCTAAATTACTTAGAAGTGAATGACGAAGGTAAACAACCCTTTCCTGCCGCTGTCGTACTCAGGCTTTATTAGTTGCTGGAGAGCTAGGGAGCATTCAGCGCACTTAGATGAGCTTCTGTGATGAAGGCGTGATGAGGGAGAATTCTCGGCAGCACATTTTGTTCACTGAATGTACTGTTTTCCTGCCTCTTAAAAATACACTGGGCTTTTGTTTACCAAGTCTTGGCACGACGGGGGTGATTGGCATTGATGCTGCAGCTCCTGTGGCTCGGAGTACAAGGTCTTTAATTGGTACTGTGCTGACAGTAACCACGCCCCTACCCACAATGCACTTTAGTGCTGCACCAATATGCAAAAGTCAACAACTTCTTAGGCAAAATGCTGTTCATGTGTGAATCTCACCCTTATCTTACTGTACTATACTTTAGTTGAACTATTGGAAACAATAGCGTGCCAGTCTCTTAAAAAGAGCTGCTTAATATCTGAATTTTCTTTTGTCACCTAGGTGCACAATGAGTTCATCCTGCCTTCAGAGAAAGAGGGCTTCATCCACCGCATGGGGGACATCATCAAACGAGCCAAGGCTCTGATGTCCAAAGAGCAGCAGGTCCATTCTGGTGGACATCGAATCCCACAGCCTGCCTTTCATAACGGCAGTAACTCACTGTCGTCCTCACAGGTCTGTAGATCTAAATCACAGCTTTGTTTCTACGTGGCACAAACAGTATTTATGGCTGCGTTTCACTGACTGCCGTTTTACCGTCACAAATTTACATGAGCTATTGTGCTCATGATGTTTCTAATGCAGAGCCATTAATTCACTGCAAATGGACAGCTGTTGCTCCCCCTCCTACACTGCAATTAAAAAAATGAGACTCTTCTTCATGGCCTCCTCGGAGACTTGGCCTTACAGATAGAAAGTTAAGTGTTCTTAGAGCCACCTGAGGTGGTGGTTTCAATTAAGACATCATTTTCCTAAAAACAGTGAGGTCATTTAGCGCTGTGATTTGTGGATTTGTACCTGTTCCTCTTTTTCCTCCTTCACTCAACAGATCCAATTCAGTGCTCAGCCATGATGAAATTTCCAGCATATTTGCCCACAATGAGCTGGAAAAAATATTATGTTTCTGTACTAACTAAGATTCGCTGAAGCTGTCAAATAAAGGCTTCCAGGAAGGAAGGAAAAAGGTTCTTAAGAAGAGCGCCATCCTGTAGAACATACGGCCTAATCGGATACCTCATGTTCACTAACAGACAGAAGGTTCTGTCCATTTCAACACAATAATCTGCTCCACAGAACAATAAAGAACTCTCCCCTGCCGCTGCCCTCTATCTGAAATAATCTAGGTAGTTGTGAACACCTACATTTCATTATCTGACTCATTCCCCGATTCTAATCCTCTGGCTGCTATTATCGTAAGCCACTTTAAACAGACCTCCACTGGCTTCTTTCCAGGTCATAATTAAAAGCACTCCATTGACCACATTCTTGAAAGAATCATTATGTGCTCTCCAGCACTGTTGTGCTGAACAGAGCTGGACTGTTCTGTCTCACTCCTCTCCGGCTGTTGTAACTCTGAGGTAGGGCTCTATTCTGAGAGTTATGTGGACAGACAGTGTATAAATGGAAGCAGAATCCTTGGAAACCGGTGCTTATTTCAGTGGTGCTTCAAGCTCAATACAAACCTTAGCCTGCAAACATGATGTTCAGCATGTTATCTTAAGAACTAAAGAAATTATTTTTTTTGATAATGATAATGAAATTTTTTTAGAGACTGAAAATAATGTAAAATAAATATTCCACGTACAGATACGTTTTCCTTTTTAATTACATATATCATATCTAATAAAAGAATGTTTAGTTCACGATGGCCACGTGGTGACAGTTGAGAGTCATTTGTATACATAGTCTGGAATCCAGTTATCGAAAGTGCAAAGCTGCATCTCTGAATATTTTAGGAAAGTCTGTATAATAGAACTGAGAACACACTGGGACGGTTTTTGTCATTAATGGAATGTTGTGTTTTATCTGTGCTCTGTTACAGCCTAATCTACACACTCACACAGTGCCTCGAACACACTCATCCTCTCTGCCTGGTAAGTCACAAGTCTGCACTAAATAACCAATTCAAGAGAGTAAGGAGAGTTTAATTATCTGATGACTAATTTGATAAAATGGAGAAATCCATATTGATCATTTTGGTAAACTAACAAAAACAATAGTTAGCTGCCACACGACTACCATGTAAAGACAAACTGTAGGATTGTACTAAAAATGCTGTTACAAGTCAACCGCAACATGACCTGGACCCTTAGGAGACACCACTGCACATGTTTCACTCCACCACATACAGTAACTCTGTTTCCAGAATGTATTTTTGTGGAGGAGTCTACACCAGTTTTAGCCTCAACCTCAAATGTAAGTTGCTGGTTAGTGTTGCAGTGATATGCATTTGAATAATTTATTTTGTATTGTGAATGCTAATAAAACTACTTTTCTCACTGCATGATAGGTTTGCCCGAATCTCTGTGTTGCATGTAATTATGCACGGTCTTGTTAGTATGCGTGCACGTGGCTGCACCACCGTCTAACTCTTGCATGTGTCTTGTCTTAGACTTCACTGTGGCTAACCAAAGTGTAGGGGTACGTGGCTCTCCCCCGTGCCCTAATGGCGACATCTTCAGTGCAGACATGACTTCATCTGGGCGACCTCTAGTGCGCTCACAGTCTTTCCACAACGCCCCAGGTAAATAGCCCTCTGCCCACTCCCTCCGGCCCCTTGCTGAAGAGGCCAACATTGTTTACTGTTTCAGCACTCTGAAAACTTCTTAGTCCCTTTGGCAAGGAATAATTCAAAGCAATGCTCAGCTACCTCATAAACCCCCACTGCCTTCCTCATGGGGAGGCGTTGCTGGTATTGTTCTGATATTCGATGGCGCCATCCGCCA